CATATAAAATTATTATTAACAACAACAATCGGTTGAAAGATCACCGAAAATTATTACTATTTTTTTTTTATATTGCTTTCTTCAGCTACTTTTAAATAATATCTGGCATAAATAGAAAGAAATGCTTCAATAAACACGCAAAAGAAAATACTAACAAAGTGCGTTATAAATATTATTTTAAAAATGAAACAGGTATTGGTCATTTTTTTTATGATGATAGTTAAATTAATATTTCGACAATTACAAAAATATTTTTTTCTTAATTACAAATGGCTACATTTGATCCACTTTTTTTTTTTGAAACATTTCTGCCAGCAATCACTTAATTAATCACATGTTGCCTGTTCATTATAATTTCTTTTTTATATATTTTATGTGTTAAAATTTGATTTGTAAATTCCTGCGTTGCGATTTAAAATCAGAAATCTTAAAAATTTAGCCTCAAACATCAGTCAGTATTAACCATCGCCAAAAATATCCAAAAAGCAAATTAAAAATATTTAATCATGTGATAAAATTACTAATTCAGAAAAAGTAAAACAATAATTTACAATGGTAACATTTTTTCACCATATTCAAGGTAAATGCAAAAATATTATTTCCATAAGAGAAGGGCTCAGAGTTTTTATAAGCCATTATACAAAAGATGTAAAAGACATTTAGAAATTCAAATGAACGAAATGTTCTTCCCGTCTTTAATATTTTTTGGGGACACGGTGATAAAATTCGAAATTAAACGTAAAGTAAAAAAATCAATTCTTACCTTGAAAAAAATTTTCTTCGTTCACTTGAGTTATCTACCAATCGTTTTTCCATCTGAATAGAGGAATCATAACACTGGACGTTTGAAAAAGGGCACAGGCCCAATAAGAATGAATTAATACTTTTAGGAGCTAATAGACGAGATATCCGTTTCGTTATCTCGAGGAAACTTTTAAAAACAACCTGGATTTCGTTCTCGACAACGTCAATAATAAGACGATGAAATTAAAAGGCGAAGAGCAGTAGCCTTGAAGATTGAAATTACAAGTAGTAGCTGCTTGAAGGAACACATTGATCGACACGAATAGCAAATCTTCATCCGAATCATCACGGATTTTTTTTGCCTTTTCTAGGCTTTATCATCTCCGACAACTGCCACATGGCGTCTTCGCCAATGAAATCGTCGAAATTGTGGAAGAAGTCGATAATCCTTTCGTTTTTCTTAAAGTTGTACGTGCTAAAAAATAAATTTTAGGCAAATCAATAACAAACAGAAAAACGCTTACTTAGGTGCTTCTCTTAGCTATTACGTACCACTTTTTGAACCTCTTCATATTCTCTACAATACCGAATTGCTGCCATCTTTTAGAAAAATTAATCGAACCATCAGGCAACAGGTCACAGTTGCCCGTATGTACAAATGTTAAATCTTGTAAAACAAGACCTCTGAAAAATGAAAATTAAATCACATGTATAATAACACATTAAAACACCTACATATATGGGATGCAAGGTGGTTGAGTTTCAGCCAACGCTTGACGATACGCCCTAAAGCTGGAAGAACTATCAATGAGGGCGCAATATTCTTTGAGACCTTCCTGTATATGCTTCTGCCATTCCAATCTTCTTACAGGAGCCGAATCCAGTGCCGAAAGGATTGCCAAGTACGAATTATAATTGTTTATTTTTCGTAAATGCTTCATTATTTTAATGAATTTTGTAAAATACTTCTCCCGATCCTTCGAATCTGCACTGAGTATCTTTGTTCGGGCCCTGTAAATTAATAATTCATGAAAGATTATCTAACTTAACGTTACAGAAACTTCATTTTTTTATTCTATATTCGTATAGTTCTATCATTTTTATTTTTATTTTTTATTATATTTAACGCCTTTTTTTTTTTCAGTAAAGCTTTCTTTTGGACGTAACGATCACAATTAAACTCATATACATAACAATAATTCATCTTTACATAAAAAATACTACAACTGGTGCAGTAAACGATGCTACATTTTAGAATTACGTATGCTCCAACAAGGTGCACTTGTGTGGATATCTACTTGCTGAAAACGAATCCCGGCGTAGCCAACCTCAACGTGATAGGCAGGTTAGCTTAATCGAATAAAATAATTCGAAGTGGTCTGCTTTCGTCGTTTTCAGCAAGTAGATATCCACACAAGTAGACCTTGTTGGAGCATACGTAATCCTAAAATGTAGCATCGTGCTACAGAATTGAACGCATATAAAATGTATTGGTGATGTAATTATAAAAAAGACATCACATTAGATGACATTTAGTGACAATAATAATTTCAAGAATGATGCTGTCAACTTTTTATGGAAACGTTTTTTAAAAAATAAACTACCACGAAAAAATTGTTTCAGACTTTATTATTTATTTAAAATGATGATAAAGTATAAGTACTGTTCCATTTATAAAAAATTTTGAAATTATAATTGCACGACATTTGTTATTTTATTCATAAAATTGGGACATCATTTCATTATTTTTTAAAGGAACAATTCAATTAATTATTTAATTAAAGCTAGCACGAATTTTTAATCATTAATGATTAATTATTAATATCAAGAAAAACAACTAACGAATAATATCAATATGACTATGATAATGCAAAACACAATTTTTTACAAGATTCTCTAAGACTGAGATTATTATTCATTTTTATTTGGTTAGATTTTCCTCAAGTTAATGAATTTCTTCTCAATATTATATGCAAACTATTTGATAACTAACTTACCAATATGACATTTTGTTGAAATGTTCAGTGAACCTGGTTAAATTGGGACTTCGCTCCTCATTCTGTTCCTGCGCCCATATCAACACCTCCGGTATTTCGATCTTCATAAACAGCTCTGCGTCTAGTAGCGTCATCTGTTCAGCAATGTGTTCCGCCTTGAAGCTGTTCAAGGTGTACGATCTGGAGCACAGAGTTACACTCAAAGGATAATTGATCACCGATGTCAGTCTCATTTTTGCCTCGTATTTTTCTAAATGCTTTACACGAAGAGCTTTCGCCAATGTTAATTCTCCGCAGTTGATTAACTCCTGCACAAAATCCATCAATTTTTGTTGCAAACTTTTATTCAAATCGTTGGGCCTGAAAAAAAAAAAAAATAACCGACTAGTAAAATTGTACCATTTATAAATATTAGCTGAATAATTACGTGAGATCGCTGACAACTCTAACTATGAGGGCAAACGCCTCCCTTGATCTAGGTTTGCGGTCAGGAATACAATAGAAATAATTGTACCGAAGTATTAATTTCGTGATAAGATCATAGGGGGTGATAAAAGTACGGTACGTTGTTAGGAATGCCTCTTGATATGTAAAGACTGTAAAGGAAATTATACAAGAAAATATCAAACAGTATAAAACAAGTAGGCAAAAAAATTCAAGAACTAATTTACAATGCAGCACTACTACGATACATTTACATACCATTCTCTGTTTCCTCTGGGAGTTGTACGTAAAAAGAATCAGTAATGAGTTAAAAAAATTTTGTTGATTGTTATTAGTTAAAAACTGCAACTAATTATTGTTTTCTATATATATGTAAAAATATAATAACTGTCGAACTTATAAAGTTGGTATAGTAAAAAATTTGGTTTACCAAAAACTGAAGTGGAAGTGAATGTAAATAATTTAAATGAATAATTTTAGGTAAAACTGGTAATGCAAAAAAATTGAATGATCAAATATTTACTCTTTTCTTGTAAAAAATAATCACCTATGTAAATAAATTAGAGTTTAATAAATTCGTATCAGCTAAGAATCGTTCGTGAGTTTAAATATACAGTGAAAACCTAAAGTATTTTTTTCAAAATACAAAACAAAAAAATGGAAAATGTTTCGTCCGTTCGCTCATTTTGAAGAGTATTTATTGTGATTACTGTAAGACTGGCATTTTTTCATTATAACATAAACATGTAAACAAAAAACATGCACCACACATAAATATTTGGAAGAAAGTGAAACTGATTTTTATTTTTTGTTTTACTCACCTCCGTTTTTCGTTGCTTTCGTTGCCATTATAATCAGTGCTTCTATACGGCCCCCTCTTATATCCGGTCCATCTTCTTCAGGTTTCTTCAGTATCAAATATTTGCTCACATCTAACGCTTCCATTAAATCTTCCTCTTCCTCGACGTTCGTTGTCGGCTTGCTGTTCTTGCTCTCAGTCAAGGTGGGTTGTGAATTAGAACCTCCATTGGTTACTGTAACCGTTGTCGTAGTGAGTGGAGTGTGTTCAAGGAGATTAGGCAGCGATTTGTTCTCTTCGGGCAAGACCACTGTAGGTGACGTTGGTGTTTCCGAAGCGCTGTTGAACTTTGTGCGTGTGCGCTTTGGTGGTAACGCAGGTGGAACACCATTACTCATGGATGAATTTAGAATTGGAGATTTACTTAAAAAAAGGAAAAGATGAAAAAAGAGCAGCGGAATTTTTATTTGTTGTATGGGTAATAAAACAAAGGAGAAATCATTTTCATATACAGTATCCCAGTTGGTTACGTTATCATCAAACAATTGCAGGAATGTAATGTTTATAAACGTACCTATTATTACTATTTATATTATTTAGAGGCTGCAATGCCATCGTTTGTTTGTTCGAAAATTCGCTCGAACTGAAAGAACTTTGGCTAAAAGTGCACGACTGGGTCGAGGATAGGCCTCCAGTTGACGGACTCGTCCATTGTCCTTGCACCATGTGTACCGAGTGTCTCATTGCCTCTTGTTCATGAGCGTGCGAACAGTTGCCAATCATCTCCATGTAGGCCATTACTGTAATTAAAATTGTCAGTAGGGAGAAAGTGGAAAAGATTTCTTTTGATTATCTAGAGGTAGTGAATTTTTTGAAAGTTAAAAGAAACACAAACATTACTTATTTAATCGTAAGTAAAAGAAAAATTATTATTTTCGTTTTATTATATTATTTTAGTTGCGTAGATTAAACAAAAACTTAAATTGAACACAAAAATTAATGAAATCTCAAATAAAACAAACGATTTCAGTTTTCAGCGCAGTTTAAAAAAATACCTAACTGAATAATTTATTTGGATTATATCGTAGATCAAAGACTTTCAGTATTAAATAATCATTACATGCTCATAAAAAATAATTATTTCTTTTTTATGGTTTAGTCTATCTAAAATTTGGTCTATAAATTCCCTGACGAAATTGCAATTTATGAACAATAAATTTAAAGCTTTACAACTTAGGTACAATACATAATTTAAGTGATGTTGCTCAGTAAATCTATGTTATTCTCTTAAATTTTCTTACAAAATTTAAAGATTAAAAATTTAAATTATAGGAAACAAAAAAATAAATAAATTTGGTTATCTGAATCTCATTGAAAAGCTGCACTCTCCGAGACTGCAGAAAGCCCCCTTTTTTGTTTGTGATAAATAACACTATTGTGAAATTAGTTTTAACATCTATTGAATTTAATGTGAGCAAACTTTAATTAAATGGTAATTTAGTAAATGGTAATTTTGGGGAAAATATTTTCGGCTGAAATCCATAAAAAAATGATGCAGTTGCGATGTGTAAAATAGAAAACTATTTTCAGAAAATACAATAGTACTATGTAAGGAATAAGGAACAAGTATCGATTCCTTTCATACATTTCAAAAAATTTCAAGCAAAAGCTAGCACGAAATGAAAAGAAGCCAAGCAAATATAATTATACACTTATTATTATGTCATTGTTCGGTAAAATAAAATACAAAAAAGAAAAAAAAAACAAAAACAAATCCTGACACATTGAAAACAAATATGTTTATACATTGTACATGCAAAGTTTCAAAGCGTAACTGGCGGATTTTTTTCTTTTATTAAAGAAAACCAAAATTCGCCAATTTTAGAGCCAGGGAACGCAATATTATCAGTGTATCAGTGACAAATACATAATAACAGGAGGAGAAAGTAGTGTAGTTTAGCTCACGATGCAATAAAAAAAGTATCTTTTTATTTTATAGTCTCTTTCATTTCGACTAAGTTAGAAACATTCTCGTTTGGATAATGGCTTACTTACCAGAGTAAGCCACTGACTGGAACACTACAAACAAATATATATCAATTACTATAACTCTTTTAACATTCGTGATGGTATTTTTCTTTTTAGCTCATTTAATGGCCCGCATTGGTAACATATTTATAACGTTATTCATTTATTAAAATTAATCATTTTATATAACATGTGATAAATGAAGAGGGATAGATATTCGGACTTGTTGGCTGTGATCCAGGGATGGTTCTCCTTTGGTGAACTCACCGAGGAAGGAGAATCAACCTTGCACCACGGTCATCACACTCGAATATCGAACCCTATTCAAAAACTTCCAGCCGTGAAAGCGTTAAAATTTTCAACAGATGCATTTGAAATTTAAACACAATACATATACAGGTTTTTTCTGAAATAAGTAGCAAGCTTGCAGGAGGTGATAAGGCACTATAAAGTAAATGTATGCTGGCTTGAAAGTCCACCGTTTTCGAGAAAAACGTATTTAAAAGTACAGTCCGGCCCTAGTAGGTTCACGTAAGGAAATGACATTATAACGCCGTATTCAATCAACTGCTACATAGTAGCATCTGCATTGTATTTCTTTTGTATTTTTGTAGTCATATACTGTTTGTTTTTTTACGACCAGGGCCGGCTTCAAATTGCAACTTCGCTTGGTTTTTTTTTTAAATTTTTTTGTCCCTTAACCAAGCTGCTTTACTCACCATGCGATTTCCTATTGCATCTAGTTAATACCCTCTAAAGCTTGCTACTTATTTCAGAAACACCCTGTGTACCGAACAATTGTAGAATTACATTGCAATATAATTAATAAACGCCTTTTTTACGACTTTTGTCATTACAAAAAATTCAAATCACGAAATATTTTTTTAATACAAAGGAATATCGATAAGTTAATGCAAAGGCGAGATGAATTACGCTTTCAGGGCCTGTGCGGAATTACCGGGGTTTAATTTATTGACCTCTTGTAATGCTTATACAGAATTATTAAAACGACGATGATACATAAAATTAAATGTATTAATTAAAAACAAAAATTT